AAGAAAGAAAGAAAGAAAGAAAGAAAGAAAGAAAGAAAGAAAGAAAGAAAGAAAGAAAGAAAGAAAGAAAAGGAGGAAGGGGAAGGAAGGAAACATTTTCTCACCACACCTTTCATTGTAAATACAGGGTTCAGAATGCTACATCTTATTAACTGTATATTGATTTTTTTAACCCTGCATTTTCACTGTTAAGAACTAAAGCAGAATATTTACAACAAATATTTTAAATACAATTAGAACTGCCTCAAATACTGCATGTTTAAAGTCATAAGACAGTTTAAAAAACTCTATGATGCAGAGCATCAACAGCAAAGCAGACAAAAAAGCAGAGCAGTACAAATTTAACACAAAGTCTGGGTGATGGATATGTCTTACACTGGCGCCCAAAGCTTACAAAACTATCCGCCAAACATAACACAACAGCAAGAAAATTCCAAAACCAGCACACATAATTTTTTTTTTAAAAAAAGCTTCATCCTGCTAAATGGCACAATTTGGAAAACAGATATTTTAAAAATCAGTAGGAAATTCCAACTAATTCATTCTGATGTTTAATTTTGTTTGGTCAATAACACAAAACAGCCTAGAACTGCATAACAGCAGCACACAAGTACAGGCAAGTAAATAATTAAAAGATAGCAATAGCAATCACACTTAGACTTTTATAAGCTTCACAGTGCTTTACAGCAGTCTCTGGGTGGTTTACAGAGTCAGCATATTGTCCCAAGTAATCTGGGGATTCTACCAACCTTGGAAGGGTGGAAGGCTGAGTCAACATTGAGCCCATCAGGATCAAACTCCTGGCTATAGGCAGAATTAGTCTACAATACTGCATTCTAATCACTACACCACTTTTCTCAACTATGTATTCAAGAGCAAAAAAAAAAACTTCATTTCATCAAATAACTTAAGCCTTGCTAATTGAATTTGCACTCATTTAGATGAATCTGCTTGAGGATAATTGTGGCTAACTTAAATGTCATTGAATAGCTCCAACTTGTTTCTTTTCTTTTTTAAAAAAATTGTCTCACTTTTTCTCTCTTTAATTTTTTTTCTCTCTGTTTTTAATCTGTGGAAATCATAATTGTATCCTCTGTGACCTTTCCTGGTCTCCCTACAGATTATTCTGGTACAATAATGCACCAGCAGAAAGCTCTGGTAGACACTAAAACCAGTTCTCTATTTGTGGTCTTTTCACTATTATCTGAATGTGGACCCCAGAAGCTATAAATGGAGACACTGAAAAAATATGGCCTTCTTGATTTCTTCCTCTATCCATTTCTTTTCAGAATAGAGGGAAATGAAAACCAATGAGCTTCATTTAGTTCATGAAATGCATGCACATTAAAAAGTAATATAATTGGTTTCTGAGCAACTGTTTCTTGTATCAATCTTCCCCAGTTTGACATCTTCCAGATATATTTGCTGCTCAGAAATTATTACCGTGTTTCTCACAAAATAAGGCCGGGCCTTATTTTTTTTTTAGCCCCCAAAAACGGCTAGGATGTCTTTTCAGGGGTGAATTAATTTCTTCCCCCCTACACACACACACACCAGCGCCATCTCCAACAACAGTGTCTGAGTCGCTCCCTCTTTTCTCCCCCATCCCCGTAACAACAGGAAAAAAAAGATTTTGAGATACCTGGGAGCACTGTGCGCTGCATTTTGGTTTAATCCCGAGCGGCTGGGTGGGTGTGAGAAGAGCCGAGCAAGCGTCACTGCTGCTGCTACCCTTGGTGCTCCAGCCTTGGGCTCTGCAACTTTGCAAAAGTCCCGGTGCGCAGCCTGTTCCTGTATTCCAAGCACTCAGGCTGAGCTGCAGCTTTCCCTCTCTCGCCAGCGCCGTCTCCAATAACAGCAGCAGCAGTGGCGGGAACCATGGAAGCTTTTTAACCACTTCTCGGGTGGGGGAGCTGCCTCTGTAACTTCCACGGTTCCTGCCGCTGCTGCTGCTGTTATTGGAGACGGTGCTGGTGAGAGAAGGACAGCTGCAGCTTGGCCTGGGTGCTTTGAATACAGGAACGGGCTGCACACTGGGACTTTTGCAAACTTGCAGAGCCCGAGGCTAGAGCACCAAGGGTAGCAGCAGCAGAGACGCTCGCTCGGCTCTTCTCACGCCCACCCAGCCGCTCAGGATTAAACCAAAACACAGTGCACGGTGCTCCCAGGTCAAAATCTTTTTTTTCCTGTTGTTACAGGAACGGGGGAAAAGCGGGAGTGACTCAGATGCTGTTGTTGGAGACAGCGCTGGCGAGAGAGGCGCCAGCACCAGTGGGAACCATGGAAGCTACAGAGGCCTGAGAAGCAGCTGAAATGCTGCCGGACATCCACACTGATGCTGCCCGTCTGCTGATCCGGGTAAGGAAGAGGTAAGGGAGCCCTCGGTGCTCCACCTTGGTGTTAGGAGCTGTTGATGGTGAGGCATAGGTGCCCGTGGGGCACTCCTAATGGCAAGTCCCCCCCTTGCCTTCCCCTCCCAATTTCGCATGTTTTAAACAAGGCCTAAATTTGGGGGGGAGGGGCTTAATTTCATTTTTTGCCTAGAAAACATGCTGGGTCTTCCTATTGGGGGAGGCCATATTGTTGGAGAAACACGGTACTACTTGAATATTTTAAGGGCTTTGGAAGTTGCTCTGAGAAAACTTTTGTTTTAAGGAATAGTCATTGATTTTATATAATAATCACAGTAATGAGATAAATCCCAAATATTCTCAGATAGCATAATTGTTGAATTACCACATCCAGAGACCCCCAGGTTGAAAAAACTTTACTGTGATGATTATGAATTTCCACAAAGATCTGCACTGAACCAAACAAGGTAATCCATTGAGACTCACCTGCAAGTGCTACTTTTCTGCATGACGTCAGCTCGATGGTATCCAGAGAGTTTACAGAAACCGTCATTACTATAAACTACAGGCCAGTCCACAATCTGAGCATTGCCCAATAAAAAACTTGATTCTAAAGTGAAAGAAAACAAAACAAAGTCAATTCCTCATATAAAGAAATCTTCCAATTATTGAAGGTTGCATTCTACAACAATGTTTCTTAAGTCCAGCAACTTTAAGATGTGTGAACTTCAACTCCCAGATTTCTTAAAGTTGCAGAGGTAGAGAAATACTGCTCTACATCCTTGTTTTTGATACCATTATATAGTAATGGAAAATAGTGTTAGAAGAAGTGAAATAGCAACAGCACTTAGACTTACATACTGCTTCATAGTGCTTTACAGCCCTCTCTAAATGGTTTGCAGACTCAGCATATTGCCCCTAATGTGGGCCCTCATTTACCGATCTCAGAAGGATGGAAGGCTGAGTCAACATTGAGCCAGTCAGGATTGAACTGCTGGCAGTCAGCAGATACTGCATTCTAACCACTGCACCATCACATTTTCCATGATAAAATGTCACAACGTGCTTCTGTTCAGAGTTCAGGCTAGCTGCTGTGTACTCCTTCCCTTCCCTTCTCATCTCATTTTTCCATTCCCATCTCCATCAGCCCATCAACATTTTTTGTCTCTGAAGATGCTCTTTTAGGGTTTAATTCCCTTGCCGGGGGTGGGGGGGATGATTAGTTTGGGAAAGAGCATTTTTTTATTTTGCTTATCCCTTCTTTTTATGTATGGAAAAGGCCATTAGGTCTACACACGGATTAGAATTTAACAGATAAATTTGTTATCAGTCCATTCTGTTGGGTGACATGAAGTAGATATGTGTGAGCATAGCTATGAACTATGAAGTAACTGTTCCCAGCAGCTGCCTATTAGAGGATAAGGTTAACATAACAGTTTTGAAGAATGAAATAAAACAGGGCAGCAACAGCAAAAAATAAAACATTCCTGTTTGATTGTTTGACTTTGTGCCATCAAGTTGATCACAAAGGTAGATTTTCTCCATGGTGGTCTGTCCCTAACCTGATCCTTCAAATTTTCCAATGGTGTACCCATCCTTATGGTAATTCAGTTCATTCATCCTTCTGTTTTCTTCTGCTTTCCCACTATTAAAGCCTTTTCCAAAGAACTAGGCCTCTGTATAATGTGTCTGAAGTTGGGTAATTTGAGCCTGATCATTTGTGCCTTAGGTGAGAAATTTGGGTTGATTTGTTCTCTAATCCATTTGTTTGTCTGGGCTGTCCATGGTATTGTCAGGAGTTACACCAAATTTCAAAAGGATCTCTAATTAATCAAAACAAAATAATTTGAAGGTGGCAAGGAAAAACATAGAAGCATGATGGCTAACTAAATCTCTGGATCATTCTGAGAAAGGAAGTGATCTCATGAGGCCTTGGAATGGAGCAGCCTGTCTTTTCTATTACTTTAAAGCTCCATCATATGAATGAACAGGGAAGAAATGAAAGTAGGAAGTGTGTGGGAATACAGGTAGTCTTCAACTTATGCCCACAATTGAGCCTAAAATTTATGTTGCTAAGTGAGACATTTGTTAAGGGAGTTTTGCCCCATTGTATAACCTTTCTTGCCACCGTGGTTAAATGGATCACTGCCATTGTTAAGTTAAGTGAATCTGGTTTCCCTATTGGCTTTGCTTATCAGAAGGTCAGAAAAGGGGATCACATGGCCCTGGGACACTGCAACTAATGTAAATAGGAGTCAGTTGCCAAGCTTCCAAATTTTGAACTCATGACCGTGGGAATGCTGCGACAGTTGTAAGTGTGAAAAACCATCATAAGACACTTTTTTCAGTGCCATTGTAACTTTGAATGACCAAATGGATTATGGTAAGTCAAGGGCTACCTGTATATTATTGAGAACTGGACCTCTCATATAAATGGCTCTTAATTCCTTAACCCAGGGGTCAGCAACCTCAAACACTCAAAGAGCCATTGGAACCCATTTCCCACAGAAAACAAAACACTGAGAGCCACAAAACCTTTCCCATGCTTTTCCTGAATGGCCACAAAACTAGCATATGTAGTTGAATTAAACATTCTGTTTTCTTCTGAAACTTTTTTTTTCTTGGATTTACCCATGGTTAGCCTACCGGGAATTGAAAAACTCAATAAATCACGTGCTGGTGGGTGTCACACACATTGATGGTTGTGACACATATTTTGAGCAACAGAAAGCCGCAGCAGAGGGATGAAAGAGCCACATGCGGCTCCAGAGCATGGGTTGCTGACCCCTGCCTTAACTGAATATAGTTGGAACAGGGCCTTCTGTGTTTTGTTCTTTTTCATTGAGGAATTTTGCTCTCTTTGGAAAAATTCCTAGAGGAATGTCCCTTTGCTGGTCTTTAGGAAGCAGGACTTGGATGTTTCTTCCCTAAGTTTTCTTCTCATGTTTGAAGCACAGCCAACTCTTCTCCTTTTTGCTTCATGTTGCATTTCCTGTCTATTTTTAAACTGTTGCTTTTTACTGGGATTTAATTAGTCATTTTTAAAATGTTGGTCTTTTGTAAGCTGCCCTCAGAGACTCTTAGGGAAAAAAGAAAAAAACAGCTAGTGTGTGAAATTAGAATAAATGAATAAAATAAAATTAAAATAACTACGTCAGATCATCAGTAAAGGGAAGTCCAGAGGGAAAGGCCTGCTTCTAAAAAGTTGTACTGGTTTGAACTAATTAAACCAGCCTTGGTTTTTGTTTTTTCCTTTGTTTCTTTCTCTCTATATATAGCAGAACAAAGCATCTATATATGCAGATGTAGCAATGAAGTTATCTAGGCCCAGTGCTTTAGATTTCATACTGCCTGCTTTCCATTCAGGACTATTTTTCTGTGTCCTCTTATTGGAGAGACCAGTACATACAACAATTATTTATTGTTTCAAGAAAAGATGGGTTATGCTTTTGAAAATGTCCCAAAGGTGCTTTTTCAGGAGGCAACTGGACTTCCTTGTTTTTTCTTTGAAGACTTTTGCTTCTCATCCAAGAAGCTTTTTCAATTCTGACAGGATAGTGGGGATAGTCAGAGCTGAAGAAGCTTCTTGGATGAGAAGTGAAACATCTTCAAAGAAAAACAAGAAAGTCTAGTTGCCTCCTGGAAAAACACCTTTGGGACAACCATGACCTGGATGACTGAGAATCTCTACACAGGCTTCTCAAAATGGTCCTTACGCATAGTTTTTGCACTAATATTCAACTTTGCACTCAAATAAGACCACTAGTTGCTTTTCTCAGATGTTCCTTAAACCTTGGAGCATGGGGTGTAATCAGATATTTGTTTATTGCAGTTCTTTAACTACTTTAATACCTTCCCAGTATGTTAACTATTTTGATCCCAACACATCTGGGGAAGGCTACATTGCCCTCTACTACTGTACAAATTACAGGACAAATAATATCTTAAATAAGATTGAGAAAGCATGTTGAACATGATTTATGGAATTCTTACCAAACCCTTAGTAATAACTCTGCTTTGAAGGTTCTGTGATCTAAAGAGAGGAGGAGCTGACAGTGGCAGAATCAGCAACATCCCAAGCCACTGCCCAATTCCATCTCCCCTAGGAATGCCCTGAAAAAATATTTTGAGAATTTTATTTTCTATAGTTTCCAGCTGGATCTGGTCCATTTTCAAACTCTAGCTTCCTTTTACCAGCTTCTCCCTCCACAGAGATTTTGGTTCCATTCCATTCTGAGGATAAAGTTCTAGAAACTTCCAAGCCTTTTTAGGGTTTTTTTCTTACATTCTCTTAGGTTAGAAATAATAAAAAGGGCTTGAAAAAATCTAATTTAGCATTTCCATAAGCTGGATGCTTTCCAGATTTTGGTCTACAATATCCAAAATTCCAGAGCCAGTGTAGCCCTGCTGAGATTTCTGAAAGATAAGTCCACACACCTAGCAAGTATGGAAGTTGCATTAGATTGATCTAGTTCTTCTATTTTCAAGAGAACTAGCTTAGGAAAAGCACTAATAATTACCAAGCCAGCTCATTCTTTTAAAGGTGAAGAAACAGAAGAAATAAGTCCATTGGAAATCAGTTAGAAAGAACAATCAACATTTAGAAAGGTAAATGAATAGAAATGCTTTGAAAAATTAACTACCAGAAGATATTTCCTTAAAATGTAGTCAGTGGTTTATACAATGTGAATTTTTTTCTACTGATTTGTTCTGCCTTCAGCTATAGAGAAGAAGCCGCAGTTTAGCATTTCTGTTGCCTTGCCTCCTCCCAAAAATGCTAGAAATGGTGTTTTGTAGAGAACTAATGACATGTTAAAGGCATTGTTCATTGAGAAAAAAAGATAGATCACTGCCTGTTTCTCTTCAATTATTCTTGAGATGAGACACAGAAGCCCCCTAGATGTCAGGCTGAAGCTCCATCACCACAACTGGCTTTATTTTTTTTAAAAAGGACATAAATAAAATTGTATCACCATTTGCTAAAATGTTTTCCAGGATCCAAAACTTTTAAGAATGTTTCTGACCCTTCAGAATATTACCCTCAATGAACACTATTTTCATGACTAAAACTGGTCTACAAATTACAGGGCCAATTTCAATAGAGGAAGCCAGAATATCTAGTATTCAGAAGCATCATATTTGTCATGTTGAATAGTCTTTTATGACCAACTAAGCTTCCAAGAATTGGCTTAAAAAAACATCATGATGGTTGTGGATGGATTCATGTAAACAGAATCATGGAGAAGTGTTAGCTAGGCCCTCTGTATAGTGTCTCCCAACCCATTAAATTGGACAAAGAGGCAAACAGTAGAAAAATTGCTGCATTTATGTGCTTCTTCCATGTTTTAGAACAGGAGCTCTCAGTTTTCAAAGCCTTGGATGAAGCTCCTATGTTCAATGTTGCAATCAAATTGAAAAGACTACTGTGATGATCAGGGGAAGGTCTTTAATATGGAACGTAACAACTACTACATTCAGTTCATTTAATACACCAGCTTCACAACATTTTACATGAACATGTCCATGAAATCACCAGGAACCAAGTTCAGTTCAAAAGTGACTTGACTGTTTCATGCCCTACAGCTCATAGTGTGACAAAAATTGTGAACC